AATGAAATTGAACAATAAGAATTACATTTACATTTGTCTGGCACAAAATGGCAAACAAGAAATAATTGATTTACAAATTTACAGAAAGTTAAAATAAAAATAAAAGATAAACATAAGTAAACAGATGAAATTTTAGATTAAAAAAATGTCAATTTGTTTATGTCATTGTGCAGGTAAGTAATAAAAGTTAATAAGGCAAGTAACATTTGTAACAGAATTTTTATAGGAAGGAGTTCTATGAGAAAGAAAATGCAGGTTTGTGTGCTGGGATCTTTTGCTGAACTTATGGACTATTATTTTCTTCTATCTAATCTTATGCACACAAGTCAGTCGACCATATACAAGACAGCACTAGTAGATCCAGTATTAAATTTTGGAGGAGCTTCAGCCCGAAAGTGTGCTCACAGTCAAAATGATACACCTGGATATTAATAGAAATCATTGAACAAATAAATAGTTCAATTTATATTACATTAAAAACAATAATTTACTGTAATCAATAAGCATCCAGGTAAAGTGTTATTTTCTTATGTTCTTTATCTTGTTCTTATGTTATGTTATGTGCTATGTTCTTTTCTTATGTTATGTTTCTTGGTGTAGCAATGAATTGCTGCTCCTGGTGTTGGATATTTTCACTTCATAGTGGAAATATTCACATGGTTTAATGAACAAGACTTTTAAAAATATCTTCTTGAAGAGTGGAACAGACTATGCATGTAATCACCAAAAAATTGGTCGACTCCATTAACTGATGGAAAGGAGTGGTAGAAAATATTGACTTACCTACAAGGTGTTGAACTAAATTAATAGTATTTCAAAGTTAAAAAGGTGTATCATAAGAAGTAAGGTGTATTATTTTGACTCTGAGGTAAAATTATCCATTTTTTTTTTTTAAATAATCAAAGTTGAATATTTTAATTTTATTGAGTTTGTATATATTTGAAATGAGATTATAAATAAATGCGTTGAAGAGTTTCTGATTTTATTTATTGTGACTATTGAAGTCTTTTCAATTTTATTTTTCTATGGGGTGTATCAATTCCACTATGAGCCACTGCATATATAATAATAAATAGAAGAAAAATAAAGAAACTAACAACCAATATGAAATCGTGTTTAAGTGATTCTTGAAGTTCTATTAAATGAAATAAATACACAAACAATAATATTTTTATGGGTGATAAATAATCAGGAAGTAGTATTTTAAAAAAAAAAAATTAATTTTTTATTTATGCCAACGTTTCAACCCAAACATGTGGGTCATCTTCAGGACGTGGTTTGAGCACTGAGGGTGTTCAAGTACTCCTTAACAAAACTGTAATATACCTAGTGCTAATATACGGCTCAGAAACGTGGACTATGACTAAACATAATGAACAGATTCTCCTTGTGTTTGAGCAGAAAATCTTCCGAAGGATATTTGGAGGAGTGTTGGTGGATGGAACCTATAGCGCACAAACCAGGAGGTTTATGGTCTATTTAGAAAGCTATATGTAATTCAGATGGTTAAACTGTTGTTGTGGTGGGCGGGACATGTGGTGCTCATGAGCGAAGAAGAGGAAGCTTTTGATGGAGTCTCTCTATGGAACAAGAAGACGAGAAAGACCGAAGCATAGATGGGTCAGCTGAAGCTCGGAACACATCCTTGAAGTGCGCAACTGGATGGCAGGGGGAGGCCCGAACCTGACAACGGGTTGTTGCACCGAAATAATAATAATACTATTTTAATTGTTAAATATGAAAAAAAATAAATATCTTTGGTAAATTTCATGTTTCATCTTAGTGACTTATTTACTTTCCAATCATTTATTTAGTATTTTTTAAAATAGTTTTTGTTTTTTTGTTCAAAATGAACAGACAAAACACTTTGTAAGATTTACTACAGGAATTGATAATTTGTCTGGTTATGTTGTATAAAATGGGAATTTGCCAATGCCATATGTTTTAGCATTAACCAGTCAATGGTTTTTCTGGTCACTACCCAGCATGTTCTACAACAGGATGCAAAAACTAACCTTATTCAATTACATATTCAGAGTAACCAGTTTCCGCCTTCCAATGAAATAAGAAATTTAATTGAAGGAGTCCATGTTTCTCGAAGAATTAAGTTTTTATGAATGCCAGCAGACCATTTGGATCCAACTCTAGCTAGAGAACATAGAGTTCGATGACTTCAGTTCGGCCAGGAACACATTGATTGGACAATTAATGTTTTTTTTTCTAGTTCCATTCGTTATTTTTGATGCCACCGTATTTTTTATAATTAAATAATTGTTTTTCACTAATAGTCCTTAACAATTTGTTCACAGATGAGTCAATTCATTTTAAACTCACTTGAAGGAAGGAAGAAAATGTGTAGCTCAGATTCATCAGATTCTTTCAAGAAATTCACCATGCAATGTGTCCCCAAGAGTGAGGCCTATACAGAATCAAACATTGCTGATAGAATTTGTGGATTTAAGAATATGTGATACTATTTTCATCATTTAATAGAAATGATTTTTTTACTCCAAGACAATGCCAGACAGTGACTACTGTGCACTTTGAGGAAGCTGAAATCAGGATACTGCATTTTCCATTAAAGAAGTCCACCTAGGAAAAAACCTGGTGGTAGAGCCTGATCTCGATAATATCACCTCCTCGCACAACCGTTGATTGAAAAACAGTACTTCCTTACAAAGTACTGAATCCAAGTACTTCAAGGACGGTGGATCTAGACTGGGATGCCAATAAACATCCATTGGCTTTGGATGTGACCCAAGAAAATGGATAGATTTTTTTATTTTGTCATTAGTCCATATTCCTTACTGATAAAGCTAAAGAGTACCTAAAGAGCCCCACCAGGAGGAGTACTCTTTTTTGGAGGCGAGATGGTATAACTCGTTTGTAAAATACCCATTGCCTGGCAAACTAAATATTATGAATTCAAATCCTGGTGCTGAAAAAAAAAGTTAAACAATCAGAATATGTTATTTAAAAAAATATATAATGCATATACATCTACTAAGTGAAAACATCTCTCATGAAAAAAAAAAAAAAAAATATTTTGTTGTTATAATTTTTTTTTTAATTGGACTTTAAGAATAACTTCAATCATCATTTCATATGGGTTTCTTTTGTTTTCTTCCAAAGTAATTATAGTTTTATATATATAAAGCTTTCAGGCTGAAGTCCCTCTCCTGGATCCCTTCCTACTGTAGACAAAAAGTTTAACTATGTGGACACTGAATACCAGGGAACCTCTTGATTTGAGTAGTCTTCCTGTGGCAGACGGGGTTCTATCACAGGTGATTTTATTATCCCTTCTTAATGGAAAATCAAATCCAAAATCCTAGGCACATCATAACAGTCTTAAAAGTAATGCTTACCTTAACTCTTTTGCACATCACGGTACAAAACGAAGCTCCAAGTATATTCTGACTAGAGCATACCTGGAATAATTAACAATGAAATTATCAGGAGTATTTAACTATCTTTTACGAATTTGAGGAAAGAAAGTGGATCAACTTACTATGAGATTATTTTTCCATACAAAAATTGGAATTGAAAATCTACTTTGCAAATATGTAGATTATTTATAGTTTATTGAGCAAAGAAAATATCATTGAGAATATTTAGGCGTCTCACAACAAATTCTGGGGACACGAATGCATAGTCTAAAAATTGTACTGTAGTACTGAAAGTGGAATGTCTGGTCATATTAAATATAAACCAAATTGTATTATGGCTTATTTCCTCTACTGCTACACACAAAGATATTAAAGGTATTCAGAGATTTATTGGGAAACATAATGTTCTTAACTCTCCTTTTAGCCTTTTGTTCAAGTTCAGGTAATTGTTAAAAATAAATAAAATGTATTATTTTACAAAATCTCAAATGCTATAACAACATTCTGATTAGTTCTATTATATAAATAATTTCATTGTTCATTTAAAAGACACAAATATAGATCCAGATAGAAATATTGAAATTAGCTTTTTCTATGATTACAAAATGTTTATATATTACCAAATATATTACTGTATAGTTTATATATTACTCTATTTGAAAATATCAATTGAAGTTTACAAATAATTTGTTTTATGGTTGATATTTTGACTTTGTAATGAGACTGTGAAAATAAACATGTGATAATTTTACTTGTTCAGTAAGTAGAAGTAAATTTAATACTGATGGTACAATCTATTCAAAGAAAATATTCTGGAAAATTAAGTTATTAAAATATCAACTCAATGTATGATACACAGTAAAAAAAAGGAGTTGAAAAACAAACTATTTGTTAATATAAAAAAAAAAGTATCTATTGAATCTTACTTGTTTTATACTGCTAATTAATATGTTGTTCTTATTTATTTCATAATTCATATATAATAGATGTAGTAAATTAACAAACAAATTAAGCCATTCCAGATAGAAGACAAGGCTTAAAAAGTTAATATGTCTTATTTCACTCTATACTGCTCAAAAATGAATAGGGATATAGTTAGTTAATATGTATGATTTATTTTCCCTAGATTTTTTATCATAAAATACATTGAAATTTAATATAAATAACATTGTATTTGACCTCAGGAAATTTAATAAAACATGATTAAAAAAAATAATAAAATTAAAAGTTTATGTGCCCTTGTTTTTATGATTGCGAATTGTAAACATGTTGTTTAATTTAATAAATATGTTGTAAAATTCAATAATTTCCGAAATATCCTCTGTCATGCACTATTGAGCATATGGTTTATAATGTTGTCACTAATTTCACAAGAAATTTCATACCATAAACATGATAATACTGCTCTCAGTTGCTAAAGGTTAAGTAGCTGCTAGTGGTGGTCAGAAAGCTTTCTCTGCAGTATATTCCGTATGTTCTCAATGAGACTGAAATGTAGAGACAATACTAGAAGAAGCAGACCTGAAATGTCCAGATTTTCAAGACATTGATAAACAACTTTTCCACCATGAGGTCGTGTTCTGTAATCACTAATACTACTACTCTTTGGCACTACAGACCGATGTGGTCCTTGGTCTCCTCGACAATGATTTTCAGGTAGTTCGTTTTTAATAAATATATAGTTTTACCTTATGTTTTATAATAGTAGGTATCTTAAATGCAACATTAAGTCAAAATTTCAATTGACTAAGAACTTTCCGATATTTAAGAGTTTGACGAACATTTACATTTTTGCTTGCCATAAAATACTCAACACAAAGATGAACATTAAACAATACAATAAATATAAAAACAATTAATAATAAAATTAAACTTAAAAATTTATGAGTGGCTTCATAGACATTCATTCTTATTTCAAAATTTCAAAGAAAAATTGTTCCGATTTTCTAAAAAAATTAAGAATTAAAAATACATAAACTTTCTTATTGTTTTTATTTTGAATCTCACCACCAACCACTTTCTTTTGGAAATATTCCCATTGTCAACAGTATCAACATGATCAAAAATCAATACATTTATGTTAGCCCTGTTTTTTTTTCCAAAGGAAAATTTATTGCAAAGGACAGGACCGTGGAGAGAAATCAAAGATAATTTTCCTGGACCCCAGTCAAATATTAAATTTACCACTAAAAACCAACTAAGGCCTAGTAAATTTATAAGTTAAAAATTTTATAAGTTGAGGCTACTTATTGAGCAGAATCTCGTTCATCTCATCGGGGTTCCCAAAGGAATCAGTTAAGTCCATCACTAAATTTGAGTCATACTTTCATATCATAAAGATTTAAAAACTATATTCATTTCATAATTTTTCACTCAGTCCCTTTCAAGGTATTAAACAATTTAAGGAAATGACTATTGACAATTATTAAAGATGAATAGTATATATATTATTCATCTATGTTCAGCTTGATTTCTGAAAAATATCTGAGTCAAAGATAATTTCAGAAAAAATTATTTCAATAAAATATTAAAAAAAGCCATTCATCCCTTAAAACTAACTTTAAAAAAACAAAATTAATTCATGGGTGTTTCTTTTTCAAATGTATTGGTCCTAACAATTTTTGTAAAACTTTTTTCATTTTCATTCTAGATTTAACCATTTTATTTTTCATTTTTCATGATGTTACCATTTTTAAAGACTTCCCACTTTGAATAGAGGAAGGAGTGATGTAAAAAAAGTGTCAGTAGTTTATTTTATGTAAAAACATTATGTGTGAAAATCAAAATAATCAACAAAGTTATAGTAAGACGAACAATGGATAAATAATATTACTTAAAAATAAATTATTATAAATATTTAGTATATTAATAACTTTTTTTATTTCAAATGGATAAATTCAAAATATATTAACAAAACAATTGAATATTTTACATACCAAAATATAACAAAAACGGTTAATACTTAAAATGGTTTTTTACTTACTTAGTATGTTTAGGAGGAAGTTTGGACATTTTTCAGGTGGTAACATATTACCTATGTGTAAGGTTAGAATTTGTTACTTTATAAAAATAATTATCAATACAGTTTTTAATTGAATTAAATCACAGAATCAGTTGAACAATTAACAAAAAAATCAATATATAACAGAAACTTTAAAAATCTTTTGTAAGTTTATATATATTATTCCTAAGATTATATATATTATATATATATATATTCCTAAGATATATATATATTATTCCTAAATTAAGAAAACAGGTCACCTTCCACAGGAATCAGAGAGGCTTTATAAAAGGCCTCCCGGGAACGCACGTCAACGCAAGGATTATCGACGCTGTATTGAAGGATGCAAAGATTATGAAAAAAGATTGTGCGGTGGTATTCCTTGACGTTGTCGGTGCTTTTGACAATGTTGGCCACAATCATATCGTGAGCTCCTTGGAAGCAAGAGGTGTGTCGCCGGATCTTCAACACGTTATATCGGCTCTCCTCTGCACGAACACAATCAAAATTAGTAACGGTGTTCACGCAACTAGCCAAATCAAAGTGCTGCGCGGGGTACCCCAAGGCGGCCCCTTGTCGTCGTCGCTCTTCAACCTGGCCATTGACCATCTCTATCGCGACCTGTGCGATGAAGAATTTTCCAAAAAATTTGGATACAAGTTAAAAAGTGACCAAGGTTGTGTGGTCCTCACAGGTTTCGCGGATGACCAGGCCGTGTCAGCGCGTGACAAGGGGGCTGCAGAAAGAGTGATCGGCAGCGTTCAGAGGACATTTGAGGGAATTGGTTTGGCTATTAATCCTCAAAAAAGCGTGGGCATCGTTCTAAATAAAGGAGAGCTGGAAACCGCGATGCTCTCCCTTGAGAACGGAGAGTACATCCAAACAATGCAGAATGGAGATACAATCAAGTATTTAGGATGTACATTCTCGGGAGAGCTACAGTTCAACGAAGATTCGGTGACCAAATTGAACGAAAACCTGAATAAACTGGTAACCTCTCCCTTGCTGAAGCCGGAGCAGAAGCTAAACATTGTCAACCAATATCTGTTCCCGGGTCTTACTTACCCTCTCCAAACTGCGCCCCTCACAAAGCTGCGTCCTGCCGTACTTGACGGCATCGACACCATGATTCGCAGGAGTGTGAAGGCTATTGTTGGACTCCCTGCGAACACCTCCACGGCGATGTTGTACTCTCCCAGGAGGTATCGAGGATTGGGATTAATCCGCTGCCAATGGGAGGCTCCTCTACAACATTGGTCCATTGCTCAGCGACTGTCCAATGTGCCCGATGCCCTTTTTCAGTCGATCTTTGATTATTCGGCTGAGGTTGATGAATGTGCCGAGAGATTGGGGGTTGATCGGGGTATTCGGAATATGAGAGCTCTACGGCAGTCGCTTCGAGAAAATTCGTTTGAGGAATGGACCAATTGCAGGTGGCAGGGCATTGGAGTTCGCCATTTTAAAGAGACCCCGAAAGCCAATAAATACATGTATGATAAGCAAGTACTTTCTGGGTCTGAATGGTCAAATGCCCTGAAACTAAATATTAATTATGCTCCCCTGCGTGGAGTCCCAGGTGTCAGCGGACAGGTAAGAGAAGTTGGGTCCCTCTGTCGCAAATGCGACAGAGAGCCAGAAACACCAGCACATGTGCTTGGAAAATGCCCCAACAACTCCCTCCTTATAACACGCCGTCACCACAGAGTCAAGCATGAACTGATGAGGCTCCTTGAAGAGAGAGAATACGCCTGTTTCGAGGAAGTATATTGTATAGATACGGATGGATCCACCCGATATGCCGACATTGTAGCATTCTCTAAGACGGGAAAGTCGGCGATGATTTTGGATCCGACCGTGAGATATGAGACCAACGACCTCGATCAGGCAGAAAAAGTGGAAAGGGAGAAAAAACAGATATATGAGAAATGCATCCCTTTCCTTAGTGAAAAGTTCCGCGAGAGTTTCGGGCCGAGAGAATTCCACGTGAGAGGCCTTTGGTTCGGAGCTCGCGGAACGATACCAGACTCAACAAGGAGCTTCATGGAGGGCCTTGGTGTCGACATAAAGGACGTGGCAAGGTTGGCAGAGAGTATAATCCTCGACTCCCTGGGAATCATCCACCACCATGTGCATGGGAGCGGATAGGGGGAGAGTTTGCTCGCGAGGGGGAGGCATGCGTGTGTTACAGCATTTTTTATATTATTATTTATTGAACACGTCCACTGTACTTTATGAATTTTTTATGTATTAGGTTAGAAAGAGAGAGGAGAGAATGTGAGTGGGAACATGTATAGGGGGAGAGAAGGAAGAGAAAGGGTACAGAATGATAATAAATGAATGAAAGAAATAGTAAAAATTATAAAAAAAAAAAAAAAAAAAAAAAAAAAAAAAAAAATAATAATATATATATATACGTATAAAATATTGTATACTATGCTCATACATATTGTTAATCCTATAATTGTATAATAATTTTAAATAATGTCTGTAGTGATTAATAGGTATGCTGTGTTGTTAGCAACCCAATGTAATTGGGCAGCACCATTTTATTTTATTTTATGATAATAAAGTGATTCTCTCTCTCTGCTTTGATTATTTAAAATATATATATATAATTATCTTTGAATATAAATGAAAATTTAAATAATAGGAACTTTAAGGGTGTGATAATGTACTTACGTATTCCTGGGTTATAGTATAATTGACTTTTCCTATTTTGTTAATTGATTTTTTTTTTATACTTCATTCATTCATCTAGGTTATTTTTCATTGATTTTAATTTTAATGTTTGAACAATGGATTATTCGGGGAGGAGGGGAGGAGGGTCAAAATGATAACTTCACCCCTTTTCTTTTATTATTGGCTGGGGCTGATCGCCCATCTCACTAAACATAGCGCCTATGGATCTTTCTACTCTCAATTAATATAGAAGAAGTAATTCCATGAACGTCGCACACTTGGCTGTCTATATAATTCAGCAGAACAAAAGACAATGAAAATGAATTTATTCATTTTTTTAGTTAAAGGTTATTTTTATATAGCTGGAAAAATATCACTTTAATCTAGAAAATGTTTCTGCATGCCATCAAAAGATGAATTTACAACATATATTATTTCGGGTCCTCAATATCAAAAAAAAAAAAAAAATCCGGAAAAAGGAAAAAAAAATTTAGTGTTTGTTCAAAAATATATTAATTAAGTTAATAAGTGATGAATCTTTCTAATAAAATAAGAAACCACAGAGGTAAAACTATAAATTTACAAAAGGATTATAATTGAAAATCTCTTAATATAATACTCCAAGCCGCTTTCATCATCTGCTGCTACTTGGAAAGTTGCTTGGACTTTCTTAAGTTCTCTTTGGAATTCACTAGGATCTTTTGAAGTTTAATTTATTTATTACATATTCATAGATGATATTACAGCATTCCTGATTCGTTCTTTATATTATTTATGTGTTATTAAATAAATATAGCCGTAACTAATTTTAGCCACTTGTTTCACAACTGGTATGAAAATTTTATTTAAATGATTTTTATGGAAAATTTCAGTAATGAACTTGGCATATATGTAAATCACATTGATGGTTTAAACAGGGAATAATATATATTACAAAATTCTCAAATGTTCTGAGAACGTTATACCTTTTTAAAATTTGTATTTGTATCTTCATTTTAAATTTCTGCGCAATCACAAAAATGTTATGTATTGCGTTAGCAAATAAGTCCTTTCAGGGTGAAATAAAACTCAATGTACTATAGACATAAAATTAATTTTAATCTACAATATATTGACCATCATTTAATATGAATTGTTCCCATCTTTCCACTGACTGCACAATACCATGTTCATAGAATGTCTGAAGTTTATTGTTAAAAAACTGATCCAAGTGGTTTTTTCCTATTCTTTCCATTCATGGAATTTTGCATTTTTTAAAACGTTTTTTGTGATTTTCGAAAAAAAATCATGTGAGGGACCTAAACCTTAAGTCTGGAAGCATAGCCGAGCTTGTGCAAATGGTATTCTATGCATGTTTGCGACACATTTAGGGCCATTGCAATCTCTCGCACTGACTGGGTGGGATTTTGATCAACAATGGCCTTAATATTGCTCGTTTCAATTTCATGTGGGTGACCAGACCGTTGATCATCATTGATATTAAAATTTCCTGAATAAAATTTGGCAAACCAATTTTGACAGGTGTGTTAGGTTAAGGCATCATCTCCATAAACACTGCAAATTTTTCTATGAGCTTCTGCAGGACGCTTAAATTGTTTAGAATAATACAAGAAAATATGCCGATAATGAATGATATTTTCTTCCATATTTACAGTGCAATAGCAAACACAATACTAACTAGTTTCAACAAGAGTTAACAGATATAGTTGTTGACATATTACAAACAGAATAAACAACCTTAGGGATTAATTCATCTGATAAGAAGTGTATCATATTGACATAAAAATAAACAGAAAAACCGAAAGGACTTATTTGTTAACCCAATAAACGCGGTTAAATAATGTACAGCTCAATGGAAAAAGTTTAGTCGCAAAAGATGTTTAAGTACATACATTCAATAGGTGATAGTCTGAAGGATAGTTTAATTGTACAAGACAGTCCTTACTTTACTCTATTTAATATAACTTATTTTTTTTCTGAGAGAAACCATCTTAAATCAGACCTTTATTTTTAAAAAATCATAATCATTATGCTAAAAGAATATCTTACAGCCTTGAATTGATAATAGTTTTTTAATGTGCCTCGTTCATGATTTCATATTCTTCCTCTAATTTCAAGATCTCAGAACTTTTAGCAGGAAAAACTCACTGTGATAAACGGTAATGATTATTTGCCTTGGATCTACGCTCACTAATTCTTGGATGAACTATACACAAGAGATTAAGGAACGTTACTAAGCATGAAATTATATATAAATTATTTTTATATGAAATTTGGCAAACCAATTTTGACAGGTGCTTTTGGTTAAGGCAACCATCCCAATAATCACTGCAAATTTTTCTATGAGCTCCTGTAGCACGCTTACTTTTTTAAAAATAATACAAAAAAATATGCTGATAATGAATGATATTTTTTTCCATATTCACAGTGCAATAGCAAACACAATACTAACTAGTTTCAACAAGAGTTAACAGGTATAGTTGTTGACATATTACAAACAGGATAAACAATCCACCTTAGGGATTAATTCATCTGATAATAAGTGTACCATATCACAAGCGACTTTGGGCCTGAAGCCCTCTCCCTAAAATGGTAAAATATAACCATGTTTAATGGAAAAAATATTAGAAAATTATCTCTTAAAGTATTATTGTTGGTGTAATTATATTTAAAAGGACTTGAGGAATCACTTAAACACCATTTCATATAGGTAGTTAGTTTCTTTCTTTTTTTCCAAAGGAATTATCGTTATTTTTATTTTTAAAAAAGCTTTCGGGCTGAAGCCTCCCAAAATTAAATCCTGGATCCGCTGTGTATCATATTGAAATAAAAATAACAATAAAAACCGAAAGGACTTATTTGTCAACCCAATATAAATCGAATTAACTTTTTTATGAATCAGGTTTAAAAAAATTAAAAAGGCTTCTATCCATGGGCCAAACCAAAATTTTTGAAATAAATCGTAACTTAAAGGTTTGAAATTTATTAGTACACTCTTAACAATCAAACTAGTACACTTTATTATTAAATATTGTCTCTCAACTCTCAATGCTTATCATTACGTTTACTTATAAATACATATATATATATATTGTTTGTTTTTGTTTCGACCACTAGTGGATCCAGGATTTAATTTTGGGGGGAGGCTTCAGCCCGAAAGCTTTTTTTTTTCATATATATATAACGATGATTACATTGGAAAAACAGAAAGAGACTAACGACCTATATGAAATAGTGTTAAGTGTTTCTTGAAGTCCTATTAAATGTAATTAAACGAGCAATAATACTTTATGACATATTTTTAAAAATATTTTTTACCATAAAACATGGTTACATTTTACCATTTTGGGGGGGGCTTCAGCCCGAAAGACCCCCCGTAAATCCGCCTGTGGTTTCGACTAAATCTCGCATTCCTAAGCGGTTAATAATTACATGTCTCACGTCATTTCCCTTGTTTCACCCTAGATACTATTTTGTTACCCAACATTGTCTTCCCACTGTCTAGCCCACTAGCCTCATCAATAAAATGCTTTTAGAAATAATATTTTTATACATTAAATCTAATTGTTATAGGGCTTCATTAAGTGATATCAAATGGAAAAAATTCCTGGAACTCGAAGTTCCCGAGACCTCACGCAATCCTTGACCTCGATGAATGTTGTGACTCATTACCGGTACTGGAATCCGGCCTCGTGATCTCATACGAGCTAGATCCATAATGCAGGGAAGCTTGCTTTGTTGAATTATATGGTTAATTGTTCTCAGTTTCATGTTTTAGATAGCAAGTGAAAAGATGAAACACAGTGGCAACAACTGAAATGAGTGATGTTGACCATTTAGTCAATCACTAAATACAGAATCATTAGAAGAACAAACACAGAACGAAACAAATCAATAGATAAAATAAAAATATTTAAGTCAACTGAGGAAGATATATAAAAAAAGAATGTGTCGAGCGTGCAATAAAGACTTCATCTGATAATTAGATTATTTCAAATACAATAATGTAAAAGTACAAACTTTTAACACTTTATTTTTAACCTTTTATGATTATTTTTATATAATCGATATATCATTGCAGCCCTTTAGTTATGCCGCATAATAAAAAAAAAAAATCAAAAAAAAAATCAATATTTAAGATGATTGATATATTTCCAAGTTAATGCCAATATTTCATAATAATAAATCATATAATTGACGGTATTAAAGTTAAAATTTAGAAGCAAATATTTTATACTTGACCAAAAAATAAAATCTCGTTCAAAATTCGGATGTGCTCTCTTAAGGCCAGTCGTACAATTGGAGTATAAGTCTATTTTAAGCTTGAACTCCAGTTGTACAACTGGTACGTATTCTTTTACCTTATTCCATGCAAAGTATACAGGGTGTCTCGTAAGTAGGGGGAAACATTTAGAAGGTTGATACTAGGCATCAAAATCTATAAAAAAGTTCATAAAAACAATTACCGAATTTCCTGCAGAAAAGTAGGAATTTAAGATTTGTGTTGTAAGTTATCGTTTATCATTCAGCAAAAAAAAAAACGAGACTGGCTTAAAAATACACTAATCTTAAATTTTCTTCTTTTATGCTGGAAATTGGACAATTGTTTATATGAACTTTTCTGTAGATATTGATGTTTACTACCAATCTTTTAAATATTTCTTCTACTTGTGGAACACTCTGTATACCGACAGCCACGCTACCAAAATCTGTACAATTTTATATTGATATTTTAATAAATGACGTAACATCTTTATATAATTTGTATATTTTTATTTTGTATAAGATTTCTTTCTTTTTCTTATGATCATAACATTGTTATATGGTCGGACGAAGGTCTGAAACTTTGCCTGAAACTTCGTGGTAAAGAAAATAAATAATTTTTGTGTGCCTCTAAGGGGTGCCCAGAAGGGGGTTTCATGGCGCAAGTTGCGCTATCAACATTTTTGAGGGGGCATATTTTGACGGGTTTTTGAATTTTTGAGAGAGCCAAATTTCGACGGAATTATGAATTTTCGGAATAAAGAGATTTTCTAAAGGAATAAAGGGGAAAACATGGAACAGACACCACCAGGTATAATTGTACGCGATCTATGATTTTTCAAATTCCCTAATGAGTGGAATTCTCAATCATCTTCTCTATGATAAGAATCTTCAGTTCTTCTTCAACATTAAGAATAATGTTATTTGAAAGTGCGGTTTCGAGCTTCTCTTTTTGGTCTCGCGAGTATTAACAATACAAACAAGAGACGTAATTTAAATCATTGCATCTTTGCCTTAAGAATGCAGTAGATATTAAACGATAAAAATAGCTCACAAAATAAAAAAGAAACACGGAGTTTATTTCTTGTAAATGATTTTAGCTTCTGTACTTACAGATTTATACAGTGTGGTTATCGATAAATATTATCCTACAGATAAAAGGACCTGGACAGTGAAGTTTTCAAGGTTATTAACCATACGATTCAAAAACAATATTTCTATTAAGTTCAACATTAAATTTTCTCAAATCGAATTTTTTTTTTTTAACAATCATTAAAATCATTCAATTTTTTTTTTAACAATCTTTAAAATCATTCAAGTTTTTTTTTTTTTTTTTACAAGATTTATGATTGTGATAGATTGATTTATTATAAATGTACCTTTATTCTTGGGATAAAGAACACTATTTCACATTTTTGTATTTATTTAGAGGATCAAATGTTCCATAACTTTGAACTATTAAAATTTGTTTCTTGCAAACTAAATCTGTATTCCTGAGGTAAAGGACACCATGTCAAATGTTCGTATTTGTTTAGGGAGCCAATTTCCTATTACTTTGAGTTTTTAAAATTGATTTCTTAGTTACTAAATTATTTAATTAAAAAAATGGACATTGTGTCCTTAAAAGATATTACAAAAAAACACTATTTATCTTTACTATTTAAATAAAAATAGATACATATCATGTACTTTTTCATTAACCCTCCAACTTTAGGATTCCTTGAAAGACGTAAGGAATATATAATCTGAGCATTTCAAAATTGGTGGTCTATTCCAATTATTACACGAAAATCACCTTCAACCTTCACCAATATCTCATATCTTGTTGGATAAATATGATTGCAACATGAGATGCTCGATTGAAATCATTAAGAGAGAGAAAATAAATGACTTTGAATTAACAAAACCGCAAACCAGATAGAATTTGTTTCCTCTAATTTTACAAGAGCAAAAACTTGATATCTTGCTGGGCTGCAAAATGTCTGTTAAATAAGGAATACGATATGAGAAAATTAGACTAAGTACTGTACAAAACCAAATTCGATACATATTTATTATTTGTTCAGAGGTTTTAGAATAAAATTTTCCAAATATATTAAGTATATGCATGGATGAAGAAACTTCTTGCAATCGCTGAGAAACAGGTCAATGGTCCGTTCAGTTTTACCAAAACCTTGGCAATACCAAGACTGTTTCGCTAGGATTGGTCAAAACCACATTTCAATTTAAAGGAATTTCTGATAAGTTTGCAAATCGCGTTCTAAATCATTCACTTCCACACAGAACTGGTTTGCAATGTTTCATCATACTTCCACACCTCAAAAACTATAATGAAAAAGGAATGTAGTGAATCCTCGATAACGAGGAAAGAATATATAAATATTCTGTGAAAAAACGCGTTCGCATAACATCGAGGAGGAGAAGTTATGAATAATAATATATAAAAATAATGTAAACAACAAAAAAATAATAAGATCTGTATGTTATTTATTTTCTGTTATAGCGTAAAAATAAGAGGATTTAGAAAGACAAACGAACCTATAAAATATGAATTTTAGATTTTTATTCTGGTGGAGTTATAGTGAATAGACATAGTCCTGCGTTATATCTGAATCCATAAAAAAATGTATCATGTTACTGCGAGGGTTCATAGTATAAAAAATGGATGTACAAGGTGTAGTTGGTTTTTAAGACATCGGAGAAAAAAATCATAATTCATTCATTCATAAATCCATAGGAAATATGAATGTTATGGTTTGTGTGCCTAGTGTTATGATAATGGAGAAAGAGAAAAAAACAAAAGCAAAAGATATATATATATATATATATATATATATATATATATATATATATACATATACATATATATATATATATATATATTTATTTATATATATGTAATGTAAGAGTTATGTCCATGTGGATTGATTAGTATTCGGTGTATAAAGCAATCCTATGAATAAGGACAGCATTACTTTCAATAAAGTATTCTCTCGCTTAAATATTTTTCATTAAGTTAGGCAAATATTTTTTTGCAATGATAAAAAACATTGTTATTTACAATTTCCATTACTATGCTCAAAATTTTTAAGGATATAAGTTAAAAGTTTTATAACGATTATTTTTCTGAGTCAACATAAAACGGAGCAATTTCTTTATATGATATTCCGTTGAACTTTGTAATCCATTTAGATATAAAAAAAACTAAGGTGTGTGCTCTAGATCATACGATAGACGTGAAAACATAAACAAAGCGAGATTAATAATATGAAATATAAATTATAAATAATAATTCCACTCGCTAACAGTATGCAGGTCCGATTTTTAATTTCTGAAATATTTTATTCCATATGTTTAACAAAACTTGTTATCATTTGGTTTTCGCCTCTATAACACGGCGCACAGTGGTCGAAAAAGGCATACAAACGCAAAAACCCTGAGAAACTTTCAATTTAAGCAAGATATTTAAAAAATGAAATTTATTATAGCATGTCGGGTATTCTGAATTAATATACAATAAAATTATTTGGGTGAAACCAAAGGTTATTATTATTATTAATAATTTTTTAAAAAATAAATAAAATATATTCTGCATGTAGTATGTTGTGAAAAAGAAAATTTATTGTGTAAGGTTATTAGCTGAATCAATTATAAATATATATTACCTATATTACTATCACAAGGACATAGAGGTAAGAGAAGAAGTGCAAATCGACCTACAACTAAATAAAGATAAAACCAAATACATAGTAGTGAGCTGAAAACAATACCAATACCAATACCCAATCAATTATGAGCCACAAAATTGCTTGAATTTCCCTTCAATCTTTTTCTTCGAATTTTGTTTCATTTTTTTTATTTCTATACTTTCCTTCCTGTTTTCTATTACGAAAAGGAATAAATTATGTTAGGTATAAATTTATTTAGATAACTGTAGGAATTTGTTTGCTTGTTTTTTTTTGGTATAACTTTTTTGACTGAATTTGACAGATAATTAGTTAAATCTTAAATTTTGTATTCATCATTAGCTGAGGGTTCAAAGAACATTTTGATTACAGTATGCCCTTGGCGGTCGTTGGCGCGAGGTACTTTCCGATGGAAAAAGGAAATTCCAGGATCCGTTGAGAGATAACTTATGCTATGAAAATACGATTTTTAAAATTTATTAAGAAATAAATTATTTTGGAATTTATTTAACTCATTCCACACGACACAAAATTATTTTTAGAATTTAGCAAAAATATCTAAAATACATTTAATGATTTATAACAAGTTGCATGATTAATGTGGTAGAAACAGGCTTTTTACTTATATTTTATTAAATATCTTTGATACTGTTGTTTTTATTCGAGCCTAAAGTTTAGGAATATATGAGTTAACTATGTCTAGTTTTGCCCAAAATGGGTCCGCAAGACCAAGACCTAGACCAAGACTGAGTTTGCAAGACCAAGACTCGTCTCGGTCTCGCATTTGAGCAACACTAACTATGTTAGATAATAAAAACATAG